TAAGAGAGCATGGATTATGAAGTCAGGTAGCTCTGGGTTTTAATCCTGGCCCTGCCGTGTAGCAGTTATATACATGACTTGGGCCTAAGTAACCTCCCTACGCCTCAGGCTCCTTACCTGCAGAGTGGGGGTTATTAATAATAGACCTGCTCCACAGACTTGTGAGCATTCTATAAAAGTAGCACATAAAACACAAGAAACAAAGTGCCCCATAAATAACAATGTTACGCAGCAGCCAAATGGGGTCCAGAGGCCCTGAAAGCAGGAATTCTGAGTTCAAGCCCAACTCAACAGTGGCCGTTTCATCCCACAGTGGCCGCAGCCCATGCTCTCTCCTTCCCTCCAGACCTGCTCCACACCCGTGGCTCCTGAATTATACAATCCCATATCTCACAGCCTTTCATTTGGAGAGGGAAAAGTTAAACAGCAGCATTGGCATTTATTAGCTACCTGATCTTAGGCAAATACTCCATGCTTCAATTTATAAATTATCCGTGAGATGGAGGTCATAAAACTTCTCAGCCCATCCCAGAGGGCTGTCGTAATGAGCGAGTGGCGGCATGCCACCATCTACAATGCTCCCCACAGAAAGAAGTCCCCCCTCCTGTGCCTCTCTCCTCTGTTGGCAGGAACTACATGTCTTGAGCAGAGTTGGGGGCGCAAAGACCTGCTCGGTCCTGGCAGCCTGTTGATATGGGGACTTGAGGCTGGAAATGAATGGGCCCCATAAACATCAGGAAGACCAGTGAGCCTTTCACAGGCCACAGAGACCAGCAAGCTGAGCAATCGCTATTTGCAAATCTACACTAATTGGTCATTACCGAGAGCAGCATAGCAGTCCACCGTGGACTTCCCACAGTTCATTTTTAATCATGCACCAACCCCTCATAAATTTCCTCTTCCCTCTTAGTCCATTCTCCAGCACTAACAGATATAACAAGGAGCCCACAGGATTGTTTCTGAGAAATGCCATTTCCAACAGCTGTACAAAGTGATTTCTCGACGCCCGATTGGGGGAGGCCCTCATGTGTATCTGCCGAGGGTGCCATCGGACACGCTTGCTGAACGCAACCGCACAACCCAGCACGAGTCCCTTCCTCTCCTGCGCTTCCTCCTTGCTAACATCAGCAAATGGATGGTGTTTTAATGCGCTCATGGAAAGACACTCACCTGTCCCAGGGCTGCTCCTGGGACGTTCCACAGGGTAGCACAGATGGAGTTGCCGTATTCATGCCCCTGCAGGGTCACTGGTAGACAGCTACCTGGCTGTCCGCCCATGCCCCGAGGCACAACAGGCCTCTGGAACGTGGTGAGGCCTGATGGTGATCAAGAAACCCCTTCCTAATGGCTTTACTACTCTTAGGGACCCAGCTCTGAGTTTTATTGTCGATCATCATGTTGCAAATATTTTCACAGGTGAGGCATCACACTAGACATTAAAGATACAAGGGTGATGAAAAGCAGACCTGTCTCGGCCCTTTTGGAGCCAACTATCTAGGGGAGGGAAGGACATTTAGCAGCATATTCCACAAAGGCATGAAAAGATCACCCTCTGCATTGAGGTTACCGAGGAAAGGTATGTGATCCTATAAGAACATACAACAAAGGATCCCCTATGAGATAACGAGCGCAGGGAAGGTTTCTCAGAGTTAATGTAGCTTAACCAGAAGAACACGGAATTAACTAGCAATGGGGAAGAGGAGGCCGACTGGGGAACAGAGTTTAAGCGACAGAGGAATAACCTCTGCAGTGGCCCCCTGGTGGGGAGGGGCGGGGCAAAGCAGATGTGAGGATCTAGTGCGTGAGCAATGGTACACACGGGCCTGAGATGAAGCCGAGGGAGGCAGGAGCCAGAAAGCGCAAGAAAATGCCATTCAGGGCTGTGGTCTCTAATGGGAGCATGGGGAAACCACGGAGGGTTTTATGCACGCGAAAGTGGATGGCATGGTTGGGCATGCTTTGGGAAAGCCAACTCATCCTGCCGGTGGAGAACCCATCTGAGGGAGGAGTGAGCAGAGGGGAGAAGACTCATCTGGACAGAAACTGTTGTGTTGGCGAGAGGTCACAAATGCTTAGAGAAGGATGGTGGTGGGGGAGATGGAGGGCAGCCAGGACGTGGGGACAGGGGCAGGGGGCCGTCAGAGATGAACTCTTGCTTCTGGAGGAGCAGCTGAGTAGGCAGATGGCACTGCTACAGCCAGAGAGGCTCCAGCTGCAGGGACCGAGCAGATCGTGGTTCGGGGTTTGCAGAGTTGGATTCTGTATATATCATCACCACTGTGACCACCAAGTATGGCAACATCGTGTTTACAAAATGCTTTCATACTCATTGTCCTTACAGGATTCCGACAAGAGTCTCAAGGGACTCAGGATGGTGGGACACGGGTGTCTCACTGGTAGGGAAAGAAAATGCAGGTGTTTGGGACCTTGAGTGGGGTGGTCAGTAGCAAAGGTCACTCTAGAGGACTGGACACTGGAGACAAAGCCTTCAGAACACAGCTGATTGTATTTTCCTTATTTTTTTAAGCCATGGAATCTCCAATGTGAATAGATAAAAGTCCAGGATGTAAAATAATGAACAGCTGGTCTTCCTGGATGAAAGTGGGCACGCGAGAGTCAGAGCACCAGTCCCTCCACCCCCCACGTTGTCTAAGACCTCAACCTCAGGGAAACCCCAGGCCTCCCAGGAGCAGATTACAGTCCTATGTGCCTTACTCCTTCAGTCTCCCACCACCAGTGGATTTCAAGATCATTTTTTTTTTTAAGGTTTTATTTATTTGAGATAGAGAGAGAGCGTGCGCACAAGCAGGGGTAGAGGGAGTGGGAGAAGCAGGCTCCCCACTGAGCGGAGAGCCTGATGCAATGCAGGGCTCTATCCTAGGACCCCAAGGTCACAACCTGAGCCAAAGGCAGACACTTAACCAACTGAGCCACCCAGGTGCCGCAAGAGCATTTTAATCCTATGCTGCCTTGGCTGCAAAGGGGAGTAGGGCATTTTCAAAGACCTGCTGCATTTCAGACACTGCTGGGCCTTCACAGGAGTTAGCTTGTTTAGTCCCTGCCTTGGTGGCTGTCAGCGTGCCACCCATTAAACCCCTGATGGAGCCAGGGCTCAAAACCTAAATCAGATGGTTCTTCAAAGGCAAGCCAGGATGTGAACTTGGGGTTCTGTTGAACCACTTTTGTGTTTTCTTAAAAAACTAGGGGGTACAGGCGTGCAAGGGGCAGGACACAGGATTGCCCAAAAAAGGAGAGTGATGAAGGATGCAGAAGCATCCTGCATGCCGGGCGCTGTGCCTCCCCTCCCGTTGCTTCTCCCCACTGTGTTGGTGCTGAGACCCTGGGAGACAGAGAGGCTTGCTTTCACCTTAATTAGCGTAGCAATTTGCTAAATTTTGTTTTTCCCTTTTAGGAGTGTTAATCAATTTTAGCTCAGAATAGACTGGAATGGCACACAAATTACCACGACAATCCCCAAATGCTAAATTCTGAACATCTCGATCAACCTCAGAGTCTAAAATACGGGAAAATCAGAAACTCCGGCCGGCATCTCTGTGATCTACTTACAATGTTATGGCTCTGAAATGAAAAGATAATGGCTTTATGAGGTTTGGAACAAGCAATCTGCTAGAATCATGCCTAGGTGTTTAGTCCTTCCCAAGGTGATTGGAGACAGAGCATCAAAATATTTCTGCAAAGTTACATGTTCCTCTAACAACAGCCATTTGTTAAATCCACAAGCATTACAGGGTACCAACTATGCACCAGAAATGAGGAAAGAGTGAGACGTGCTCCCTGCCCCCTCCCCTATTAAAGAAGGTTCTAAACTAAAGCAGTAGACAGACAAAGATCTCCTCTTTCCTGGAGAAGTCAGGGAAGGTTCTTGGAGGAAGTGTCGACAAAGCAGAGTCCTGCAGGGTGAATAGGAGTTGTAACAAGGTAGGTGGAAGGGTATGTCAGCTAGAAGGAACAGCATAAGCAAAGGCTCAAACGGAGGAGAGTAAGCAGAGACCAGAGATGGTTTCCTAGGGCTGAGTAACAGGCTGAAATTCCAGGAAGGACCCAGATGAGATGGGAAGAAGAGTCAAGAACCAGAAGCAGGACTTCTTGAGACCGTGAATCTCAATCCTGATCCAGGCCATGTGGCACTATGGATGGATTTTAAGCTAGGAAATGACATGACACAAATATGTCTCGTTCAGTGAAACCTTCTGCTCCAACACAACCTTTAATATTTATTCAGCATAATCTTTTAAAGCACATTCACATCTATTCTCTCACTTTTGCCGGTTCATTATCCAATGAGGTTGGTATGATAATCACTTTATTTTTTTTATTTTTCTTAAATTTTTTAAAGATTTTTATTTATTTATTGAGAGAGAGAGAGAGAGAGAGAATGGTAGAGAGCATGAGAAGGAGGAAGGTCGGAGGGAGAAGCAGACTCCCTGCTGAGCAGGGAGCCGGATGTGGGACTTGATCCCAGGACCCTGGGATCACGACCTGGGCCGAAGGCAGACGCCCAACCGACTGAGCCACCCAGGCACCCGATAATCACCTCTTTACTGATGAGAAAACAGACATAGCAAAGGTACAGATTATTTACTTTGTATCTTATGACGAGTAAATGACAACATAACAAATTAAGACCCAGCCCCATCTGACTCTGAATTCAGCACTGAGCTCGCTGGGTAGCAGAATTCTCTAGAAGAGCCATCACAGACCTTTGTCAGATGCATACCAGGCCAATGGCCTCCCCCTCTAAAGAAAGCCTTGGTGGCCAGAACTGCCCAGACCAGCATGCATTCTGTGTGGACAACGTGGCCCCTTTGATGCTTTCCATAGTAAAATCAGATCTGGATGGCAAACAGCCTCAGTTACACCCTGGACATTCCCAGTTGAAAGCTGAGATTTCTGCCACTGCCAGTCTACAAGACCACAGGCAAGAAAAGTGTCCAGCGCGAGGAGCTCAGGGAGACACCTCTCTCTCCCGCCGCCCATACCTTGAGCTCATCTGCATTGTAGAAGTCCACACGCACGGCGGGAACCATCCAGGTCTGGAAGAGCGTCGCCAGGATCTGCTCCGCGATGGAGTCGGCGACGAGGTGGAAGTGCAGGGGGTTCCGCCTGTGAGAAGTGGGGGGAAGAGGAGTCAGGAGGGACAAGGAAAGGAGTTCCAGCCACAAATCTACATTCTTACCAATTTGTAACATGTGGTCAGTTTCTAACAGCAGCTAGGAAAGGAAATCAGGTGCATTACCAACCCAATGCTTGCTGGTAACCAGGACGCCAGAGCTGCAAAGGAGAGGAGACACCTCACCCCACCTTAGGATTTCAGACAGGGTCATTGTTACCGTTGGTAACACTCCATTCAAGCCAACCGCCATGCCTGTTGCTAGCGTATTTTGTGTCTCTAAAAACCTTAAGCAGAGCCTATGCAACAATTTGGCCAACCTTTATTTCTACCACCTAGACATATGGGCATTAGCTTCAGGAGCAGATGGACAGAGAATAAAGTCTTCAGACCAGCTGAATGCAACAGACAAGATACTTCTCCCACTGCATGGTACGGAGTTCTGTTTTCTGTTTGTTCTTCTCCCAAAAGAAACTCAGGCACCCAAGATGGCATCATGGGGAACCCCCATCACTGAATACCAGCTTACCCTCACTTTTAATATTCCTACAGCTTTTATTTGTTGCCCTCAACCAGCCATCACTGGGGGAGCCCCTAAAATACAAAGCAGCATCACACAAGGGCAAAGCTTCTGGAGTCAAATGGAAATGGATTCAAATCCCAGGTGTGGCATTTATTAGTGGGGATTTGGGGCATGTCACTTCTCCCTCTACACTGCTGCCGCTTCGTTCTGTAAAATGTTCAGAAAAATCTTCTTATCAGGCTACTATGTCAATTAGATAAGTGTAATACATAATGCCTATCAAAAATAAACACAGGACCATAAACAGCAGATATGCCTTCTACTATCATAAATACTACAGAGCTAGCAGAAATAATAGCATCAACTGTATTACCACAAATGAGAACCTTTGGAAATCTAAAGATGAAAATGACCTGGTTCCCATGACCTCAAGGAGCTCACAATCCTCAGAGGGACAGAGGATCCACAATGTAATATAAACACAAGGTGGGTCATAACATTGCTAACAACCACAACACAACATAACGTTCTTTGGGAGTAAAGAAAAAAAAAAAGGCTAATTCTGACTGGGTCAGGAGGACGTCGAAGAGCTGGGGAAGCTGTGCCCTAAAAGATAAAGGAATGTGATGGGAAGCAAAGGGAGAGGGGACACCCTCCAAGGAAAGAAACAGGAGACTACAGCCAGAGCCCAGGGCATGCCGGGAGCGTGTGGGGAGAAGTGGTTAGCTGGGACTCGAGGGTCAGAGCAGAGGAGGAGAGAGGAGAGAGTGCAGGAAGCAGTGAAACCCAAGTAAACAGTACCTACTTCACCAGCGAGGAGTGGGGAGCAATGCGACCCATCTCTTAGCTCCTGGTCTCCTGAGACCCTCCCCAGACCTGTTCTAGATACACAGACCCTCTCTCAGTTTCCCATCCCCTCTCTTCACCTGAGACTTTGCATCTTCGTTTTGCTCTGTAAGAAACCTTGCATTTGCTCATTTGATAAATACTTACTGAGCACCTATTACCTGCTGGGAGATGAGCAGGATGCTGGGGACAAGTAAGGTAACCACTGCTGACCTCACAAATCTCATGATCTGGCCCCTCTTCTCCTACCCTTCACACTCCGCAGCCAGTATTTATCTCTTATTCAAGCCTTCAGTTCTGAGATCTGCCATCGTTTTCTCCTAGAGTCCCTCCCTGACTACCCACGCCTGGCTCAGGGGCCCTTCCTAACAGAGAGTCATCTCAGTACCATGTGCCCACCTTTAGGTTTTGCTTGTTTGTTGACCTGTCTAGATCCCCACATGACTGTGAGCTCGGGGAGGTCAAGGATGATGCCAGTCATGTTCAAATGTATCACCTCATAATCCACCTCTGTGCCTGGAATGCAGGAGTTCAGTAAATGGACCGAGTGGATGGATGAGTGATGGGACAGTGGACAGATAAGGGGAACGGAGGCTCACACGTCATGTAGAAGATGAGACCAGGGGAATGTGAAATGAGGATCTGATCTGAGATAATGTCTGAGGAAGAGCAGCAAGGAAGCTGAATCTAGAGGGATTTTAGGAAAAGAGATCTTAGATAAGGGGGGAAATGAAGTGGAAGAAGCAGAAGGGGACACTGAGGTTCCTGGGTTGGTGGTGATGTCTCCAGTACAGGGGATACAAGAGGAAAGGCACGCTGGAGAAAGATGAGGGGTCTGGGACTGGATGCACCAAGTTTAAGGTGAGGGTGGCTAAGCCTGGTGGAGCTGAATGGATGAGTTTAGACCTGAAGGCGATTAGCATCCAAGGCTAATCTGCCATGTACATGACAGGTGCTCAGGGTGAGAAACAGAATAAATGAATAGAAGACACAATCAGGACTGCAGAATTTCTCTATGGGACCCAATGAACACTGCAAATTCTCCCATTAACTATCTATATTCAAAGGTAAGGGGCATATGTGCCCTATAGCATTCCTTGGAAGCCCTATTAGAAGCTTCCCTGCAAGAAGCTACCAGTTGGCCTGAGTGATGACTGGCGGTCATATATTTATCAGCCAATGACTTACCTGAAGGCTAAGTGAGAGGCAGCTAGTCAGAGTCCCTGGGAAGACAGATGGCCCACTCAGCCATCTGTTGGTGTTGGTACAACCATCCCCCCTCTCCCACAGGAGCCCCACTGGAGTCTTATGCATCGAGAATGGATATAACTGTCCATTTGCATTTCTATCCACAATGGAGGAATGGCATAATTTTAGACACAGAGTGACAATACCACAGAGATCAAGCTACGTATATTTGTTCCAACACAATCATGCTGCCCACGTGTCTCTGTCTTCACGTGCTGCTTCCTCTCCAGGGGATACTCACCCCCTACTTAGAGGTCCCATGAATTCCTTTTCATTCTTCAGACTTCCCTTTGCAAGTCAGCTCCTCCCAGACACCTTCTCTGAGCTCATCCTGGCCTGTTTTTAAAAACCTGCTAACTTGGCATTTCCTATGAAAAACATGCCTAATGGGTCTGCCTTTGGCTCAGATCATGATCCCTGGGATCGAGCCCCATGTCGGGCTCCCTGCTCAGTGGGAAGCCTGCTTCTCCCTCTGCCTCTGCCTCTCCCCCTGTTGTGCTCTCTCTCTGTCAAACAAATAAAATCTTAAAAGAAAAAAAAGAAAGAGAAACATGCCTACCATTTCTTTTTTTCTTTTTTTTTTTTTAAGTTGGCTCCACACCTAGCATGGAGCTCAATGTGGGGCTTGAACTCACAACCCTGAGATCAAGACCTGAGCTGAGACCCAGTCTGACCCTCAACTGACTGAGCCACCCAGGCACCCCCAAACCTGCCCACCATTTCTAGCATGACACTGTGATACGTTTTCAAACATGTGGCTCCTTGTCTCTACTGTGAGGTCTCTGAGGACAGAAACCATGTTTTCATCTCCATCCCTAGTGCCCAGAGGAGAGCCTGGCACATGACAGGTGCTCAACAAACACTTGTTCAACAGGAAAAGGCAGCCAAAGTCCCTCCTTCTAGGTCCCTGTTAACCTTACCGTGAGAAGGTAATGACAGTCAATGGCATCGTCTGTACCAATGGTACAGAGCTAGGGGCTCCGCTCCCCCCCAAGAATGTCTGGGTTGGAGCCCTGGCTGCATCAAGTACTGACTGAGTGACCATAAGCAGTTAATTCATCTTTCAAGGCCTCAACTTATTGATCTTCAAATCAGGAACATTAACAGTAAGTAAACAATATTGCATTGTAAGGATTAAATGATATAAAGTGCCTGGTGTGTAAGATCTTATTGTATGTTAACCACTGGTATGGTCTGAATGTGTGTGCCCTGCCCCCTCAAATTCATAGGTCAAATCCTAACCCCTAAGCTGATGGTATCAGGAAGTGGGGCCTTTGGGCAGTGATTAGGTTGTGAGGGTGGAAACCTCCTGAAAGGGATCAGTGTCCTTAGAAAGGAGGCTCCAGAGAGCTCCTGCCCACCTTTCCTGCCCATCATAGGAGGACACAGAGAGACATCAGCAATCTGTAACCAGAAAACAGCCCCCTGCCCCCTCCACCATCAAACTATGCTGGTGCCATGATCCCGGACTTCCCAGCCTCCAGGACTGTGAGGAATAGATTTCTGTGGTCTATGAGCCCCCGAGTCTGTGGTATTTTGCTATAGCAGCCTCAAGCAGACCAGGATAACCACTGTCAGTGCTAACTTAGGGAACTGTGATTTTTCTCTACTGCTTTGCATTACTCTTCAAATGAAGTAATTTCAATTAGTTCCTCCATCCACAAACCCAAAAATGAGTTGAATGAAGAAACATGCAACAAAGAGATATCAAGCATTAAGTACACGAAAGGCATAACAGGGGTTTAGGTGACACAGGAGCTGGGACTCTCCTCTCCTGGTGCAGCTATCAATCTGGCAGAAACAGAGAGAGAATGCAAATAACTACATAAACGTTGGAACACAGGTGGGCCCTAACACTGGACCACCTCACACAACTGCAAAGTTTGGGAATGACATACCTCCCGGGGAGCCATCTAAACAGACTGATATGGACAGTAAGTGAAGGGTACCCCTAGATTTGGATGGTGAGCAACCTGCACAACTGTATAGGATGGCTCTGCAAGGAGAAGCACAAAAGCTACAGGGGTGGAAGAGAACCACTCCGGGCATAATAAATAGGGGCCCCAAACACACGTCCATTCTCCCGAATTCCCTGCCAGGGGCTAAGGGCACACCATTCATCCAGCCTCACAAGGTAGAAACAGGAGCTTCACCAGCCCCGCGCCCCTCCCCCCAATCTCCCACACAGCCAATCAATTCCACGCACTGAATGGCCGCTGAGTCCAGTGAGTAGGAGCCAGGTCTCTAAAGCCAAATTGCCTGGCTGCTTTTTATCTTGGTTTGTCACAAACTAACAAACTAACGATATGACCTTGGGCAAGCATGTTCGTCCTGGAGTCTCAGCTTCTGCAACTGTAAAGTGGGGCTGTTATGATC